TTTCCTCTTTTCTCCCATCCTTCCTAACTACTCAGGCCTTCTCTACTTTGCACTTAATCCTTTTCTCCCTCAGTTCCCTTTGATAAGTATTTAACATTTACCTTTGGAGGTTTTTGTTTTGTTTGTTTTTTTGGCAGGGGAAGATTCTCCCTAAGCTAATATCTGTTGCCAATCTTCCTCCTTTTTTCTTCCTCTCCCTCAAAACCCAGTACCTAGTTGTGTATAGTTGTAAGGTCTTCTGGTTCTTCTATGTGATCCACTGCCACAGCATGGCTACTGACAGATGAGTGGTGTGGTTCTACGCCCGGGAACCAAACGCAGGCCACCAAAGTGGAGCTCACCAAACTTTAACTGCTAGGGCAGCAGGGCTGGCTCTTACCTTTGGAGTTTTGACCTCAATTTTCACTCCATGTATTTTCAGTTCATATAGTGCTTCCATCTAAGAAACAAACATAAATTAAAACTTGAATTTAAAATTTGTCACAAAGATCTGGTCTAAATTTTAGAGGTGAACATCTAGGTCTTTTGCCACCCATCCCAGCTGTACATTCGGTGTAATGTTACTTTCAGATATCTCCCCTCCTCCTCTATATTATTGTATTTGTGCCCACTACTGGGGGAAAAAATCCTAGACTCTCAAACAGAAAATACATGAAATTATGACATGCCAACTTCTTGACATTTTTTACAAATCACATTGTGACATTTTACAAATCACATTGTAGCCTGAATAGCAAGCAGTGAAACTGTTTGCCTGAATTAAATACCTTCGTCCTCATTTTTATATTCCATAGCATTGTACCATCCCTGTCCCTATCAGATAATATGCCACAATCAGAAAATTGTGCAGTAATAACCAATCTAGAACCCATGCAAATTAAAGTAACTAAATCCCCACACTTAAAAAGATAGGTTTTATTCAAATTAAATTAATATAATCCAGTTGGTACTCCAATTCTTTTTCTTTTTTAATGGAGAAAATGATAAAATAACAGTGTTAAGTATTTCCTGTAGAAAGGAAATTCCAGTTTTCACCTTTCAAGCAACGTCTGCACCTATTTTTTGTTTCAATCTAATCTGACTGGAGTCTAATACCCTTTTCTTCTTCTATAGATTTTAGGAAGTACTTTAATTCATTTTAACAGACTTTAAATAAAGTCTCTGAAACCATTCCATTGAGGAAGCTCCTCACAGACACAGAATGTGAAGTTGATAATTTGAAATTAAATCAAATCAAATCTAATAACATTCCTTTTTCAGTAACCCCATAGTGCTTCTCTTTGTCTTTGGCAATCTGAATATAAGTATGCTATAGATAAAAAGGTAAATGTACTGAAATTAGTTATTTATATTGATCAAAAGATATGAAGAAAGTAAAAGGAAAGCCATAAAGTGGATGAAAGTAATTCCACTACATTTATAACAGAGCTCTTATAGCCAGAATATATAAAGAAGTTGAAAAAAAAAATAAGTAAGAAAAAGACAGATATCCCAATAGAGAAATATTCAAAACACTTGAACAAGTATTTTACAAAAGTGGGGATCCAAATGGCCAGAAACGTACTCAACTTCACTAGTAATCAGGCAAATAGAAAATAAAACAATGCAAGAGTGGTTAAAATTTAAAAGACTTACAACATCAAGTGTTATTGAAGAAGAGAAACATCTGGAACTCTGACACCCTGCAGGTGGAAGTATGGTAAAATGACTTTGGAAACCATTTTGGCAGTATCTGCTAAAATTGAATGTATACACATCCTGTGACCCAGTATTTCCACTCTTAGCTATATCCAAGAAAAATGTGTGCTCTTGCACATTGGGAGTCAAGTACAACACTCATAGAACAATTTTGTAAGACACTCAAACTGGGAAAAAACAAACAACTTTCACTAGTAGTATATTCATATAATGGAGTACTAAATGACAATGAAAATGCATCTACAGCTTACATAGAATAGCATGGATAATCTCACAAACATCTAATTCAGTGAAAGAAGCCAGACATAGAAGAATATATATCATAATAGAATATAATTTCCTAAAACAGGCAAAATTAAACTCAAGTGTTATGAGAGAGAAAAGCATTGTTTCGTAATAGCTAAAAGGTGTAAATAATCCAAATATCTGTCGGTGGAGGAATGGTTGAATAAATTGTTGTATATTCACGTGATGGAATACTAGATAACAAAGAAAATGACCAAATCTGAACATGCGGCAACATGGATGAATTTTATAAACACAATGTTGAATGACAGAAGCAAGACACAAAAGAATATATGGCTCCATTCATATAAATTTCAAGCATAAGCTAAAATCTAAACTATAATGATCAAGTCAGGATATTAGATATCTTTGGGGCAAAGGGAGTGGATGGTGACTGGGTGGTAGGTATTTTCTTTATGTTAATTCCTTTAGCTATACATACATGTTTTATTTCACAGTTTTAAAAGGTTTAGAAAATGAAGAGAGAGCCTTCCCTGGATTCATACTGCTTGGGTTCACATTTAGGCTTTGCTGCTTTCCAGCTGTGTAACTTTGGGAAATTTATTTAACAGCTCTAGGCCTCAATTTCATATCTGTAATGTGAAGATAATGATCAAATCTATTTTGTAAGATTTATTGTAAAGATCAGACAAATATTGGAATCTTTGCTAAGATATTAAGCACTTAACAGCTGGCACATAATAAGTGCTGACGAATTGCTGACTCCTGCTATTTTTGTTATTGTTGTTATCATTGCCAGTTTATTTGTTCAGAGGAATTTTCAACTCTCATTGTAATTAGATTATACTTATAAATCCATAATGGCTTTTCATGTAGGTGAGTTTTTGTTATAGTCTCTCAGAAGAGTTTATTTTATTCCCTGTCCATGTTATTTCATAAATTAATGATTAGGTATGATATAGATGTATTTTACAATTGTAAGTAGAATTTTCGTTGCCTTGTGTTTCATAATTGTACATGTAGTATATATGTAGCATATATATGGCAAATAGTAGCAAATACTTGGTACGACCTACTGCTGCCAGGCTTGGTTCTTGGTGCTACATGGATTAACACTTTGAATCCTGTATATAACCCCTGTTTTACACAGGTAGAAACTGAGAACAGAGAGTTAAAGATGGCGAGTATGTGGTCGGGGATTCAATCTGGCCCAGAGTCCACATTTACCCCACTACTCTATGCCAGGAAAGCTGTTCATTTTTATGTTTTTCTTTGGTAACTGGCAACTTCTCCTTAATCTAATTTTTAGTTGATTTTCTTAGGTTTCCAAGAAGCCAGTTACATCATTTGCAAGTAATTACTTTTTGTATACTGTCCAATAGTTCTTGTTCATGCCTTATTGCTTTGATTTTAGCTTTCAGAGAAGTGTTTATAAAAATAATAGAGTGGACATTATTCTGTTAGTCTGACTAAATGAGAATGCCTCTATTTTTTACACCACTAAGAATGACATTGACTATTGACTGAAGGGTGTTTTCTTTATATTAAGGATGTGTTTTTCAATTTTTAAGTTTACCAAATGGTTTTTGATTTGTTCTGTTTTGTTTTAAAATCAGGGATGGCTTTTAAACTATCGGATGTCTTTGTGTATCTATGAAGATGATCACATGGGTTTTCTATGTTGAACTATTAATGTGATGAATTGTGTTAATATATAGCATAATATTGAATTATCTTTGCATTCCTAGAATTTCTAACATAGTGCTGAACTTTATTTGCTAAAATTTCTATAAGATTTCTGCATATATAAGTGCAAGTGAGATTGGTCTGCAGTTCTCTACCGTTTTTGTTGTTTTGGCATTGGGTGGATTCTAGCTATGTAAAGGGAATCTGGAAGATTTCTGTCTTTTCATGTGTTGTATATTGCATTTTAAAAGTAAGTTTTGAATATATTTTCTGGTGTGGCGACCTAATACTGTTTGTTAAAGAATATCTTGGTTTTCTTCATTGAAGATCTTAAGCGTTCTTTTTTACTATTATGGAAATCTTCAAACATAGAAGTAGAGAGATTGGTTTCATTGTCTTCATCTCTCACCTCACTTCATTTTTCTGAGTGTTTTGAGCCTTGCTACTTAAAGCATTGTTTGAGGTTTAGCAGCATGGATATTAATTACCTGGGAACTTGCTACGGATGGATGTAATCATGTACACATAACCGCATGCATCAGTCACCTTCGCCCGATGCATTTGGTTATAGGCAAGTCACAAGTCCTGCTCCCACTCTTGGTTTAGATTTTAAGCTATCATTAATAATGTTGTTCTGAGATGTTTAAATAAGTCTTTGAGCCTTTAAAAATTTGTCTTGGACTATATCTAATAGTATTTGTTGTTATTGCAAGTGGAATGTTTATCTCATTTACATTTCTAGATGGTTATTGCTAGAAATAAAGAGGCTGTTTGGTCTGTTTTAAAAAAAAAAATTTGTCTTGGGTCCTGAAAGGGAGCTAAAAAGTCTCAAAGGGTATTATCAGAAAACAAGTACCTCTTTTTGTTATATGGTAAACAAATGGCAACACTGGCAGTTCATAAGTGTGCCTTTTCTGCCAGTGGGATCATTAAATAATGAGAAAGCAGGAAAGAGGACAAGAGTAATTAGAAATTCTCGTCATAAACAACTTGAGTGATTGGTACCTGAAAGCCTGGAGGTTATTTGAATTAATTTTCCACAGTCTAAAACTATCTGGTCAATTTACTATTCCTTACTAAATCTAATTCACTGTGTATTTGTCAAGAAACTTTTGGGTGCTTAATACAGTGTTAGATATTTTGAGTGAGAGGAAAGCAATATGCCAATATCTATGCCTTTATAAGGCTTACGGGAATCTTATTACATTATTTACATTTTTTTCATCTTTCTACAAAATATAACTTCTATTTATAGAAGCTCATGCTGGATTTCACCTTACTTGGGTTCTGTATGGGTTGAAGAAAGTGGAAAATCTTCCTAGGTGTGACTTCCTCCAAGAAAAAAACAGTTATCTTTTCCTTTGTTTTAGCAACAGCGGACTGTCTACAGACTGACTCTAGTGAAAGCATGGAATGTGGATGAACTCCAGGCCTATGCTGAGCTGGTGTCCCTGGGGAGTCCTGACTTCATCGAAGTAAAGGTAAGCCCCTGCTGGCCAATGCCATGCACATTTCCCATGATGCTCTATTGGCCGTGGTGGAGTTAAAATCTTTTCAAACTCTACAGGTCTCAGGTGTTTTATTTATTCATTCAGAAATATTAATCAAGAACCTGGCACTGTTCTAGGCATTGGAGATAATAGCAATAAAGACGAAGCTTTTGCTCTCATAAAGCTTATATTTTAGTAAGAGGTAGACAACACTAAAGGAATAATTAAAAATGACATAGTAACGTTAATATACTGAGAAATAAAATAGTATTATAGTGAGTAATTGGTTGGCTTTTTAATAAGATTTTATTATGGAAAACTTCAAACATATACAGAAGTAGAGAGACTGGTCTAATGAACTCCCATCTGTCCATCACTCAGCTTAAAAAATTATCAACTCATGTTTGAACTATATTCCTACCCATTTTCTCTGCCCTTACCCTGTGATTTTGAAGCAAACCCCTACATTATATCATTCATCCATAACTGTATATATCTCTAAAAGATATGTACTCATTTTAAATACTTATTCAGAATACTGTTCTCACAACTGAACAATTTTAACAGTAATCTCTTAAGTATTGGAACATATAAGGTTTCAAACTTGACCAGTGATTTCAACAGTATTTTTGAATCTGGATCCAAATAAAGGCCATTCATTGTAATTGGATTATTTATCTCTCAGATTTCTCTTAATCTATTAGTTCCTCTACCATGTGTTTTTTCCCCCCTTGTAATTTATTTTGTTGAAGAAAATGGATCGTTTACCCTGGCTAGTTCCCCATATTTATATTTTAGATTTTGCTGATTGCATGTTCCTCTGCCCCCTATGTTTCCTGTGGATTGATAGTTAGATCAAGGGAAGATTGATCAGATTTGTGTGTGTGTGTGTGTTTGCATTTCAAGATTATTTCATTGGCAGTATTGTATACTTCCAGCAGGAGGCAGGTAATGTCTGGTCATCTGTGTCATATTTTTGCCAGTGTTTTTTTAAGATGGATTTTTGTAAGTGGCTTGATGTGTCAAAGGATAAATGCATATATTGTTTTGCTAGGTATTGTGGTTGGCTGTTTTAGATTTCATAAGCAGGAAGGCTTTTCTGAGGAAATCCCGTTTTTAAATAGTAAGAAGCAACACAATATGCAGAGGCTTGGAGTCAGAGCATTCTGGGCAGATGGCACAGCTAGTGTACAGAGGTCCTGCGTGATCTCAGTGGGGCAGTTGGAGTTGGCAGTGGCAGAAGATGAATCAGAGTGCTGGGGTGGGGCCAGATTTTGTTAGGCCTTTCAAGCAAGGATAAGAGAATTGGATTTTATATTAAGTTTAATGATAAGCTTTTTAAATACTAGGTGTACTAGGAAAGGGTTTTAAGCTGGAGAGGATGTGATCTGATTTATGATTTTGAAAGATTACCCTGCTGCTTTCATGGATGGATTATAGAGGACAGTAGTAGAAGTAGAATGACCAGTTACAAAGCTATTGCTTAATCCAAGCAAGAGATGTGATGGTTTTCAGGAAGGTCATTGGTAATATTGTTGGAGAGGAGTGGATGCAGTTGGGATAAATTTTGAAAGGAGAACCAACAGAACTTATTGCTAGATGACATGTAGGGAGTGAAAGAACAAAAGGAATCAAGAAGAGCACCTGGTTTTTAACTTAAGCAATTGTGTGGATGTGGAACAGTTTACTGAAATGGAAAAGACCGGTGGGGGAGGGAGGCAACTTTGGGGAGTAATTTCATGAGTTCTATGTTGGTCTTACTAAATTTGAGGTATCTTGTAAATATCCAAGTATAGGTTCAAATTGGCCATGGGTTATATAAGTCTGGAGGTCTTGGAATAAGACAGGGCTGGCAATAATGATTTGGAAGTCACCAGCATGAGATGGTAGTTAAAGCTATGGAGTGTTAAGAGGCAAATGGCTTTGTTGGACAACTAAGAATCCACAAAATAAGAAAAAGTGACTGGAAAATTCACCCAGTGTCCAAAAGCTCCACTCTTCAGTTGATATTTATGAGGCTGAATGTACTCTATGTCCTATCAGAGGCTATTTCAGAATTCTACAGCTGTCTTTTAGTAAATTCAGCTTTCTGTATTACTGTACTCTGGAGGAGTGGGGAGGTGGGAACAGATGAAATGTTGCTGTCTGAATTGTGGCATTTTATCTCTAGTCAGGCCGAAGACACTCTTTTCTTTTGAAATTGCTCTTAATTTCAAAAGGCTACCCTTGACAAGAACTCTAATGATGCAAAGATACAAACTACATCTGAAAAATATGTGTTGGTTTAAGAAAACCTTGCCAACACCAGGGATTAGTGGTGTTTCAATTTATGATTTAGCTATTAAAGAATGCTGCCTCAAATTATGTTGCAGTAAAACCTCTATTATAAAGCAACTTGGCTGGATCACGTCACCTTTTTCCATTTTCCTTCTTTCTTTCCTTTCTTCCTTCTTTCTTTCTTTGCAGTCATGTTTTCTGTAATGAATGAGATATTTTATAATCTGAAAAGAATCAACCAATACTATTTTTTAAAGAAAGATGGCTACTTTGTAAACAGTGTAATTCTCTGATGGGTATTTTTTAGTTGGGTAAACTATTAAAATAACTAGGAAATAGATAAAGCCTTCTGTCTGTAGCTGAGATTTTGTAACAACATAGTTTCTTTCACACAGTATTTTCATTTACTATTTTATCACTGCATTCAACAAATATTTTTGAGCTCTCTTCATGTGCCAGGCAGCATCAAAGCACCAGAGATACAAAATTTGATATGGATATGCTATTTGGGAAATGAATGTCTTATTGAACAAGGCAAAGTCTACAGAAGTAAAATGAGCTACTTTGAGAGGGTAGCTTGTAATCTAATCACAATTTAAAATGTCTTATTTAAATGATAAAATATAATGTGATAGATAACAGTTTGTGTTGTGTGGGGGAAGGCATGGTGATGATGAACTTGTCTCTAGAAGACCTGCAATATCAAGTAGCTGGGCCACTGGGGACTGAATCATGTGCTTTGTTAAATTCAGCTCTCATTTGTCCAGCAAGTTAATGGAGTATCTTCCTTTTAAACTGAAGTAGGAAAAGGGATGTTTACAGAATATAGTGTACTATTAAGAAACAAGTTATAAAATAATATTTTGTTATTTGATACATTTTTAACTGTATGTTTACATATATTTATATAAGAAAAGTATGGAAAGGTATATATCAGATTGTTAACGGTGTTCTTTTTGGGAGATAGGGAAGGAAAGACTTATTAATTTTACTTTTCATATTTCTGTGTTGTGTGAATTATTACAGTGAGCATACATTACTTCTGTGATTCATATGATTGAAATGAAATCAGTAAATGGAGAAGGCGTGCTTTCCTGTTCAGTAGGGTTAAACTATTTAATGTCTGAAAAGGGAACTTTTTGTTGTTGTTTTGTTATTAATTGAAGTTAGAATTTTCTAAAATATGGAGGCCAGCTTGGTGGCGCAAGTGGTTAAGTGCATGCACTCCACTTCGGTGGCCCGGGGTTCGTGGTTTCGGATCCCGGGCATGCAATGATGCACTCCTTGTCACGCCATGCTGTGGCAGCTTCCCATATAAAGTAGAGGAAGATGGGCATGGATGTTAGCTCAGGGCCAGTCTTCCTTGGCACAAAAGAGGAGGATTGGCATCAGATGTTAGCTCAGGGCTGATCTTCCTCACAAAAAAAAAAAAAAATTTTCTAAGAGGAGTTTTAAAAATTATAATAAACCCTCTCCAAAAAACATTTGATGGGAGCTAGCAATGTGGTAGGCTGAGATAACCTCAAACTCCTCCAAAAACAAACACTTAGAAGTAAACATGTTATGGTAAACATTCTTTTGAGATCATAGGCCATCTGTCAGGTCTATAAGGGAACTCTTTAGGGGCTAGAAGAAGAGAGATCAGCCTGGTGGTACTCCACAGCTCCGGTAGAGACAGGACTTGGGTTTAAAGGACAGAAGACTAGGCCTTTTCACCTTCAGTGAAAGGGCGAAATTTACCCACTGACACAGAATGGCACTTGGAGGCTTGTCCCTTAACTATGCTCTTGGTAAAAAGAAAAAGTCTCCCAGGGCTTAACCCTCAAAAGAGGTTGGCGTTAAAATTTAATAGTACCTCAAGGTCACATAAATGCCCTGAAGATGAGAAATTGGTAATACGAGTTGACCCTAGGCTAGTGATATGCCTGGGGCTCTCTGCAGAAGCAAACACAATACTGTTCATATCCTTTGTCTATATTTCCCGGACGTGTGTGTATGTAGAGGGTGCAGAGGTCTCATAATCTGCACACACTGGAATGTCATATGAGGAAGGGGGAGAGCACAGCTTTGATACCGTCCTCAAATGTACTGATGTGGTCTAGGACAGGTTACTTCTCCTCCTTGAGCCTAAATTTCCTCAATATTAAAATTAGAATGATATCAATTTAATAGCTTTGTTTTGAGAATTCAATGGGGTAACATAGGCCTGGATTCAGTAAATGTTTAGATCACTTTCCATTAAGTACATTTATTTAAAGTGAATCAATAGAAGCTATTTCTTTATTGATTTCTTCTTTTCTTTCATTGCTAGTCTTGTAAAATATTTTTTTCTGTTATATTCCCTATAAATTAACATATATTTTAGCTCCATTAGGCTTAAACAGGCCTTTATTTGCTAGCCTGAAAATCTTAACTATGATTATTTGCTTGCATGTTTGTGAAAATGTTTCATGTTACAAACATCTGTCTTACTAAAAAGTTTTCATAACACAATCCATTTGTAAATGAAATGCTGTCTTTGTGTTCTCTGCCTGGCATTGCACCTTGACAATAGTAAGTGCTCAGTAATTATTTGTTGTCAAATGATTTAACACTCTCTTACTGTTAGCACTGTAATTGCCTACAGAGCTCAGTCCTTGCAGAATGCATCTTGCACAACAGATGTCTTAGCATAGCCTTGCTCTCTTTCTCCACACAAAGGTAAGGAACATTACTAGTTGTTCATGTATGTAGTGGTACCTAACTAGTGTTTATCAGTTGGTTCATAATCATTAAAGAGTAGAAAAGTCCTGAATAATATGAATGATGTTTTATATTAGATCAGAAAAGAGTTCTGGAGTTTAATGTCATAGAAGAATATGTGACTTGATCCTTAGAGCATTTAGCATAGATTGGCTGGGGGTATAGAGAAGAACAAAGTACAGCCACTGCCCTCTAAGAGCTCCGAATTGAGGCACATCATTATACGAGTTATGTGGTAAGAGATATGCACAGGAGATGGTGAGATTGGGGTCAGATCGGGTAGGGCTTCCTGAATGGAGATTAAAGAGATGGTGGAGAATGTAGCCAGGTAAAGACTGGATGCTGATGGTGCAGTTCAGTAAGGCCTTATGTGCCATGCTGAGAAGCTTGGGCTGTTTTTGGCGGGGGAGCTATTGAGGCATTTTTAGGATAAAGGAGTGACATATTTTGGGTATATTGCTGCAAAAAGTCATAAGACAGCATTTCTTTTCTCATTAAACTATAGGGGACAAAAATAACATCAGAAGTCTTTTGATACCCAGTCAGTTTAATTAGAATGTCAAATAGTCAAACTGCCAAAATCCTGCTCTTCCCACAGATCTTGAATCCACAGGTAAACTTTCCAAGCAGCCAGTAAAAAAGACCTTATGGCCTCTGTCTCCTAGAGCAGAGTGATCCATCCGAAGTCACCAGTGTAATGATGTAGGTTATGCTTTTCACTACAAACCTGGAGATTCATAAGTGCTCCTGTTCTTCAGGAACTTTCTTTGGGTCTGCTTATCACTCCTCAGCCTGTAGATTCTGGAGTGAATGCCTTTTGCTTACCACATTGTACCCATCTGTTTTCCTGAGGTCATTCTTTTTTCAAGATTGTGAGGGCAGAACATGCTGCTGGTGATAAATGGGGAGTGGCGGTACGGGTAATGGTGGGATGAGAAGGTGGCAGACAGCTGCGATAGAAGGGGAAATGAAGCGTTTTTAAACAGTTTAGCGTCAAGTATGATGAAGAATAAAGTCAGGGCAAGTCATCAGTAGACTAGATGGTAGGATGAAGTGAAGTAGCCAAAGCAGAAAGGAGAAGACCAGAGAATGGGGCATTAGGAGCCACACTGAGTGAAGGTTCAGGGGTTCCTAAAGGTGACTCGACATGCTGATTCACCGAGACCACTTTCTGCCCATAGCATTTCTGTCATAGTGAAGGCTCAGGTCCTGGTTGGCTCAGGAAGTTACCCGTGCTGCCTACCTCAGAGGATTTTGTCTGGCTAAAATGAGAACTTTTATGTGAAAATGCTTTGTTAACTATAAGCATCATGTGAACGTATGGAAAAGTATTATGCGAAGGTATAATAATGATTGCATTCATTCTTTCATTTCATTTCTGAATCAAATCTCTCCTTAACATTTCATGATTTATTATTGCTGAATAAGAAATATTAAAATACTTTTCAAGCCATTGTCATGAATGTAAGATCTTATCTAAAACCTCTGCTTCAATGAACTAATTTTTTAATATTAAAAATAAGTTCCTTTGAATTAGCTACCGTACACATGGTTATTCATGTAATTCACACATCACAAACAGTATTTAAATTGAAGTAAAGTTTATTTTTATAACTAATTTGACCTATCAATAAATCATTTTCATGTTTTTATACATTTGGGTAAGTTTAGCACAATTTTTCAGCCCTGCTTTCTTGAAGATTTTTTAAAACTACTGTATTATTTGCTTTTTTTATTCACCTAAAACTCCAACTCAGTTTAGTGAATTCTGTAAATCATTGAGCTGATAGAGAAGATTCTCGTGTTTATTACGGGTCGCCTGAGTTTATGTTCAGCAAAGGTCATCTCAGTTTCGTGTACCAGTAATCTTTTTGAACAGCCATCTGGAGTAGAGCATTTTGCAGAACTCATCTGAGTTTTCAGCCAACTCCCAGCTCTGCCATCTGTAGGATCAGGGTCACTCACTCTGCAGTGCTCATTTGTGGGTTTTTCATTTGATGTCATTCTACCCCCTCTAGTCTGTGTGTGTGTGTCCGTGTGTTGTGTCCATTGTGTTGAGAGGGATTGTGTATGTGTTTTTTATTGTTGTTTTATTTTAGTTATTCCCTTAGTAGCAGCGTATCTAGAATATTCAAACTGTTTGTCAAGAAAGTTTGATTCTGGGGTCTTTAAAGGGCCTAAAAAGTTAAAATATCTCTTATTATTAGAAAATTAGTTATTAATCATTTATCATTATGTAACTTACCAAATAGAGAACTTAGTTACAAAACTTTTGGGTCTTATGTGCCTGGGCTGTCAGGTAGAGTTCAAAAGAGTTAGAAGCCAACTTATCTTACTGCATTGTACTGAATAGGGATGTCTTTAGAGGTAAGGTACATGTATATACAGGGAGGTATGTGTAAAGATAAGTATGTATACCCACAATTGTATTTCCTTTTTGGCACAATTCTGTGTTTATATGTACCGTATACAAAATGCATTGCAAAATACTCTCCTTAAAGAATAAATCAAAGGGTTCCCTTTCTGGCCTTTTTCAGAAAAGTTACCAACCTCAAATCTAAACTATACTGAAAAATGGGAGGACATCTTATTTTCCCAGTGAATAAATTGTTCAGTGAATTTTTATAGGTATCAACTATGCCTCCATTATTGTACTAGGGGGTTATAATCCCTTGAGAATTCATCTATTATAGTGCACAAATGAATCTGAATGAAAAGATATATTATTGGTTCAAAAATATTATTGTGATTAGACAGCATAGAATGTGACATAGCACAAAGCACAGGTGCCCAGGCACCAGCGTTGTCATAGAGTGGAAGGAGCATCAGCCTCGGATCTCCAGTGCTGTCTTTGTCACTACCTGCTTGTATGAGTTCCAAGGCAGATTTTATCATCTTTGTATCACTTTCTTCACTTTAAAATACAGATCGGATTGGATTGGATTGGGTGACCTCTAGAACCCTTACCAGCTCTGAAACTCTTACTCTATGACGTTTAAGTGGGTCTGTAATCATATCTAACTGTTGTAATGTTTCCACAGGGTGTTACCTACTGTGGAGAGAGTTCGGCAAGCAGTCTTACCATGGCCAATGTGCCCTGGCATGAGGAAGTGGTACGCTTTGTCCATGAGTTGGTGGATCTGATCCCCGGCTATGAAATTGCTTGTGAACATGAACACTCCAATTGCCTCCTGATAGCTCACAAAAAGGTAAGAATAACTCAGATATGCACTCTCTATCACTCTTATCCTTATTGCTCTTTTCTCTTTATTTTCCCCTCACCTTATTATAGTGAATATCTGCTTGTTTGCTACCTTTCCTAAAACAAACATTAAGAAAGTCCTGAATTCTGCCTGTTGGGCTCATCAGCTCTCTTTTCTGTGTGAAATTGCTTTGTTTTTAGCCCTCACCTAGGCACTGGAAGTACTTTCTGGTTTGTAATTGATGCATGCCAAAAAAGAAAAGCAAGACACCCTTGTAATAACCTCTAGTCCTTTCCCAGAATGACAAGGGAAAGCTAAAATAGTAAACAGCCCCCATATGAGTGTTTCTGTAAGAAGAAATATTGAGGTATTTATCAAATTTTAGATCACTTTGAATCTTGGCCTCTGGAGAAATTTTTCTGGGATTCTAGTTTCCATTTTTCCCCTTTAGTGCATTTATTAGACAGAATAGGTACCCGAATCTAGTGTAAATAATGCCTAACAAGGGAAAAATTCAGTTCTTGGTAGAGGTAGGTCATTAAAATGAGAAGGAAAAAACTCTAATCAGAAGACTAGTGTTAGAGTAGCTATGATAATGGTATGTTCTTACTGAAATATTTACATAGAAATAACGTAGCATCTGGGGTTTGATTCAAAATGATACGAGGTGAGAAGTACATGGGTGTGTGGATGGGTTGAGGGTTGTTGAGGCTAGATGATGGATACATAGAGGTTCATTATACTATTCTGCCTAGTTCTCTGTCCAAATTCTCCATTAAAAAATATTTTTCACAAAAAGCGGACATGGATGAACCTTGAAAACAGTGTCCTAGGTGAAAAGAAGCTAGACGAAAGGCCACATATTATATGATTTCATTTATGTGAAATGTCCAGAAGAGGTAAATCCATAGAGACAGAAAGTAGATTGCTGCTTGCCAGGGGCTGGGGGAAGAGCAAACTGGGAAGTGACTGCTAATAGGTATGGGATTTCTTTTTGGGGTGATGAAAATGTTCTGGAATTATATAGTGGTGTTAGTTGCACAACTTTGTGACTATACAACAAACCACTGAATTGTGCACTTTAGAAGGCTGAATTTTGTGGTATGTGAGTTATATCACAAAAGACAGATTAATACCAAAAAGGTGATAAAGGTCAAGGATGGACTACCTCTTATATAAATGGTTTGTTTTTTTTGGTGAGGAAGATTGGCCCTGAGCTAACATCTGTGCCAGTCTTCCTCCACTTTATATTTGGGACGCCGCCACAGCATGGCTTCATGAGCAGTGCGTAGGTCCGCACCCAGGATCCGGATCTGAACCCGAGAACCCTGGGCCACCAAAGCAGAGTGCATGAACTTAACCACTGCACCACTGGGCCGGCCCCTATAGATGCTTTTTATGCAGATAAAGTGAGGCTTACTTTGAACATGAAAGGCTCAATTTTTCCTCCCCAAAAACCTAAGTGGCTTCCTGAACCAGCTTCTTGGGTTAATGACATTTAATAATATGAGAATCATTCGGTTAAAATTTCACATGCTATCATGTCAAACAAATATGAGGTTAAAAGGCCCTCGTGCTTTGGGTGCAGTTAGACTGTATATAGCTGACCTAGGATCTATCACACTTAAATACTTAGACAGAAGAATATCTTCTGGGAGCATCAAGGAACAAAGAAATAAAGCCCACCTGGTATTTGAAATATTAATTAAAGTAACTACAAAAGTAATTAACTTACAAAGTAAATCTTAAAAATTAAAGCCAAAAAGCTGAATTTTATTTTCTAGCTTTTTATTCATTGTTACTTTTTTAGGTAAGATAGTACCTTTAAAAAAAATTTTTTATTGAAGAGGCAGTGCTCTGGAAGTAAATCTGACAATGGTGGTAAAGTTCTCTCGTCCTCCATGGAGTCTTTTCTTCACATCATAGCCAAAGAAATCTTTATAGAATGCACATCTCTGCTGCCTAGATGGCCTTGGTAACCTCCCATTGCTTTTAGCATGAAAATCAAAATCCTTAATGTGGCCCCTATGGCCCTGCGTGATCAGCCTCTGTCTACCTCTCCAGCTTCTTGAACTGTTCTTGCCTCTCTTTCTGCAGTTTTTTCATTTTCTCAGACACAGTAGGTCTTAATTTTCCTCCAGTTAGGTTGGGAATTATATACCGTTTTCTGTTATCTTAGTGGTTGCACTGGAAATTACTACATGCATCCTTGACTTATCAAAGTCTAATGTTAAAGAATACCTTTACCCCCTAACTGTTCCAAGTGAGGACTTTAGAACACTTAACCTCTATTTTTCCCTTATTGACTCACATGCTGTTATTGTCGTGTATATTGATTATAAATACGTATAAGGACAATATTGTTGTTACTTTGTGTAGTCAATATTCATTTAGATTTACCTGCATTTTTAACACTATTTTACTCTCTATTTCTTTCTGCATTTTTGACCCTCCATCTGGGATTGTTTTCCTTCTCCCCAAAAAACACCTTTTAAAATTTCCATTAGTGGGGGTCCACTGATGGCAAACTCTCAATTTTTCTCTGTCTGAAAATGTATGTTTTGCCTGGGTATAAAATTCTAGGTTGGCATTTGTTTCCTTTCAACACAATACAGATATTCCCCTGTCTTTTAAATTCCATTAATAAAAGGTCAGCTGTTGGTTTGTCGCTCCTTTTAAGGTAATCAGCCATTTTTCTCACTCTGGCTTCTTTTTGTCACTGTTTGGTTTTATGCTCTGATGTGTCTAGATGTGGACTTCTTTTTGTTTTTTCTGCTGGAGACTCCTTGGACTTCATAAATCTGTGGATTGATACTTCCTATCAGTTCTGGAAATTTTCTCAGCTTTTATTTCATTAAATATTTCTTCTTCCCCATTATCTCTTTTCTTCTGGAACTCCAATTAAACATATGTCAGACTTCACTGTATTTTTTATGTCTTGACTTCTTGTTTGTGTTTTTTATTCATTTGTCTCTCCATGTTTCATTTTGGACAATTTCTTTTGACTTATATTCCACTTCACTAATTTTTGCTTCAGCTATGTCTGATATGCTATTAAATTCAACCATCAAAATTTCTTAATTTTGGATATTGTGTTTGTCAGTTGTATAATTTCTGTTTGTTTCAAATATGATATGTCACTTTGTATAATTTCCAGTTCCATGCTGAAATTTTCAAGCTTTGCTTTTATCTTCTTGAATATTGAAAATATAACTGTTTTATTGTTAGTGTCTGATAATTCCGACATCTAGAGTATCTGTGAATTTGTGTCTGTTATCTGTTGTTCCTGCTGGTTCTCATTCATGTTCTCTTGTCTCCTTATGTGTCTTGTTATCTGACTGTGTTGTGTACATTGTATTTAGAAAACTATTTATAGAAGTAATATGAGATCTAGGATCAGAATATCTCTTCTGAGAGTTTAGAGATATATCATTTAACCCTCTCACTTTTTCTATATGGAAACTGATGTCAGAATGGTGGAGAGACTCGCTTCAAGTCTCATAAAATGGCTGAGCCAAATTTAGACTTCTGCCCTCTCATCTGTTGGTCTTTCTTATACTACAGGGCATCTTTTGAAACCACTGAGCATTTTCAAAGGAAAGTTTAAAACAGGACAGTTTTATTTTAGACCAATACTTTCATCAGTCTCTAAGATTTCTTTTCTCTTCCCAGTATAGACACGGAAATCGAGGAAATAAATAGCACCCTATCTCATTCAGGCCAATTTTGTTCTGTAAGTGTTTATTGAATACCTGCTGAGTTCTGGACACTGGGCTGTGCAGTGAGGGACACAACACCTTAGGAAGCATGAAGAATGGAAAGCATACAGGATTCATTGAAAGAGACAGCATAAATTTTAGCAGCACCGCTTGTTAACTAGGTGGATTTGTGCAAGTTGTTTAATTTTTTTACAGTAAATGAGTGATTAAGAGGTTATGTGTGGAGTCAGGTTGATTAGGGTTTGAATTTTTGCCCCCGATTTCTTTCTAGGTGTTCATCTGGAAAATGGGCACAATACTACCTTAGAATATTGTTTTGAAATACTTAACACAGCACCTGGTTCAAAGTAAGATTCAATTATTGCTTCAGTTATTGTTATTTGTATTATTTATAAAACTAGCTAATTTGATGAGTACTTAATATCTGACAGATAATGTGTCAGGTGTATTTTTCAATCCTCATAACAACCCTGTAAGGTAGGTAACTTTTGATATCCCTGTTTTTTTTTTTTTAAAGATTTTATTTATTTATTTTTTCCCCCAAAGCCCCAGCAGATAGTTGTATGTCATAGCTGCGCATCCTTCTAGTTGCTGTATGTGGGATGCGGCCTCAGCGTGGCCGGAGAAGCGGTGCGTCGGTGCACGCCCGGGATCCGAACCCGGGCCGCCAGCAGCGGAGCGCGTGCACTTAACCGCTAAGCCACCGGGCCGGCCCAATATCCCTGTTTCATAAATGCAAAAACTGAAACATCAAGAGGTTAAGTAACTTGTTCAAGATGCAATAGCCAGTAAGTGGTAGAAATGAAATTCAGACCCTGGCATTTGAATTCAGAGCCTATATTCTCTCTCTTGCTCCCTCCCTCCCTTCCTTTCTCCCTTCTTTCCTTTTTTTTTTTTTTTCTTTTAAGTTTTGAAATGATTTCAAATTTACAAAAAGTGCAAAAATAAAAATAGTACAAAGAACACACACATTACAAATTCACCTCTTGTTACCGTTTTCCCCCATTTGCTTTGTCATTTACTTGCTCTCTTTCTTTCCCTCTTGCATTTTCTTCCCACCCCCTTCTCTTTCTCTCTCTCTCCACACACACACACACACACCTTTCTTTTCTGAGCCACTTGAGAAAATGTTACATGCATCATGGTCCTTTACTCCTAAATATTTCAGTGTGCATTTCTTGAGACTGGGAATATTCTCCTGTGCAACCACAGTACATTTTAGCCACTTCATAACTTTACATTGATATATTACTTTAATCTACCATCTATTGTCAGTTGACTTTATTT